TAAACATTACATGGCAGAACACTATGTCAGCTTACATGGAAACGTACAAAATGTGGGTGTATTCAAAAACTATTCTGCAGGTACTATCTTTAAAGCAAGACATAAAATCATTATGAAGTCTTGTAAGCATAACACTGTTTCAAACAGAAATAAATATAGAACACTTTCTGGTAAGTTACAGCAGCAAAAAACAAGAGGCATCCTTTTTAAGCAAGAGTTTCATCACTACAGCAGCTGTTCAGACCTGAATTCCTCTCACAGCCTGCTTTATATTTTCCAGTAGGGCTTTATTTTCTGGACTCTGATAACGATCTTGATTTGTATACATTTCCGTCAAAGTAGTCACGTAAGCATCAAAATTTTGTTCATTGATTGGATCCTACGAGATATTAAATAGTAGTTCATATACAACTTTTATTTTCTTAATAGTATATTTACAAAAGCATAAAATAGTATCATAGCATAGTGCCCTTGGTTTTATACTATTTCAAAGGCCAGCTCAGAGCACACTTAAGTTTATGGGGTCAGCCCCGCCCATGTTTCTAGCAGTTAACGGTATGGTTTCGGGGTGGTAACCACAAACATTTGCCAAAGGCTGAAGAACCATGAAAATAACAACCAAAACGGCATCTACTTTAGGCGGTGCGCTGTGAGGACTCCACATTCCTGCCTTGCGCGCTCAGTCACTTACCATGTGTGGCAGCTGGATGTTGGCCAGACTGTGGATCAGAGACTGGCTCAGGTTCGCCAGCTCGTGGAGGAGGGACTCGTTCTGCTGCTCAATCACTTTGTTCTCCTCTTCGATGGTCTTCAGGTTGCTCTCCATCGTGGTAATCTGAAACGCACAAGTGCGTGTGACATGTAACACCAGGAGGACCTAGAAGCCCGTGGCCATTGCCGGGGGCCACAGCCTACTGGGTGCGAAGAAGGGGCCTCTCGCTGAAGGAGAAAGCCTTCGGGCCGGGCGCTGTGGCTCACGCCTGGAATCCCAGCACTTTGGGAGGCCAAGACAGGCAGATCACTTGAGGTCAGGAATTCGAGATCAGCCTGGCCAACATGGTGAAACCCTGTCTCTACTAAAAATACAAAAATTAGCCGGGCGTGGTGGCGGGTGTCTGTAATCCCAGCTACTTGGGAGACTAAGACATGAGAACAGCTTGAACCAGAGAGGCGGAGGTTGCAGTGAGCTGAGATCACACCATTGCACTCGGGCCTGGGTGACAGAGCAAGATTCCGTCTCACAAAAAAAAAAAAAAAAAAAAAAAAAGAAAGAAAGAAAGAAAGAAAAAGGCTTCAGTGTGAGCGCTTGCCGTTTAAGGACCTGCTGTCTATGCTTTGGATTCCTTGCACTTGACAACTGGGGAAGTGGGACTGTTTCCTTGTGCCATCCTGTTCTCTCAGCTGGCCTGATGGGACTGCAGTGTGTGGGGGCTTAGTGTTTTACTGACTTGATGCGAATACTTCTCCTTTCTAGCCTGAATCAAATTCTGCCACGGCTAAGTCCTCCAATGCTCATTTCTGTGTGGGGGTGTCACTATCTCTTCAGATGGCACCGGGCTGGCACTGTGCCCACAGGGTGGTCTTCCTGCATTTCTCTAAGGAAAAAGGCCCACCGCGGACCCTTCCTTGCATATTCCAGAGATAATTTAAGTATCATCAAGGTCAAGGTCAGGGCCTCTGCCTATAACGGCACAGGACTAACTTCACACGCAGCAGGCAGGGAGCTGCCCTGGCCGTGGGGGGTCTGCCTCGGCCACCCAGGGGTGCCTCTGCTGTGTGTGATCTGGGGCTTCTCCCTGGAAGACCAAGCCGACCCACAGAGTCCAGGGCTGGCTTGCCTGGCCTACCCGCTCCTCTCCTCTCCTTCCCCGACGTGTCATTCCCAAGTCCTCTCATGAGAGTCTCTCCTCCTCTCCCTCTTGGTCCTGTCTTCTCCTGTGTTCTGGCCCTCCCTTGGCTGTACTGGGTCAAATCCCGGGTTCTCCCACCAGCCTCAGGCACAGACCCTCTGTTAGAAAACTGGTGCCCCTTGGAGATGCCCTCCAGGATGAAGTGGGGAGGGCGGGCCTTCTCCTTGGAAGGAATCGCAGCCCCCACCATTCCTGCAGGGTAGTGCCCTGTGGAGAACCCACTAAATCACACAGCTTTGTTTCCATGCACGTCCTTGGTGACCTTCTCATTTGTGTTCCTTGGGATTATTTATCAAATTAATGTTCCCCTCCCAGCCGCCCCCTTGCAGGCTCAGGAGTGGATGCCTGCCCTCCCACGACTCCTGGGTGGGCCCTGAAGGGCTGCGTGCCTCGTGCTCGTCTTCCAGAGCGTTCTGTAACCCTTCCTGGGTGGCCACATGCCTGCACTCACGGCTGGTGGCAGCTGTGGCTGGGACCTCACTAGAGATGATGTCGGTGTAAGGAGAGGTAGGTTTTCTACGATGGAATCTAATCTCAGGTGAGGCGCCACTGCCCAGGTCCCGAGGTGGTTAAAGGCCCACGCAGGGGGAAGGCCACAGCAGGACAGTGCCACTGCCCAGGTCCCGAGGTGGTTAAAGAGCCCACGCAGGGGGAAGGCCACAGCAGGACGAGGTGGTTAAAGGGCCCGCGGGAGGAAGGCCACAGCAGGGCGAGGTGTTGGGAGCCCCACGCAGGAAGGCCACAGCAGGGCCGAGGTGGTTAAGAGCACGCGGGGAAGGCCACAGCAGGACGAGGTGGTTAAGGGCCCACGGGGGAAGGCCACAGCTTGGGACGAGGTGGTTAAAGGGCCGCATGGGAAGGCCACAGCAGGACGAGGTGGTTAAAGGGCCACGCAGGAGAGGCCACAGCAGGGCCAGGGTGGTTAAAGGGCCCACGCAGAGAGGCCACAGCAGGACGGGCACCTCTGCAGTCTCCTGAGCTGAGACGAGGTGGTTAAAGGGCCCACGCAGGGGGAAGGCCACAGCAGGACGGGCACCTCTGCAGTCTCCTGAGCTGAGCAGAGGGCGGCTCCTGCCCTGTGCACCCGGTGGCTTTCCTAGATGGCCGCTGCTCCAGGCCCCTCAGCCCCTTGTCTGTGCTCAGGGAACCCTGCAGAGGCCTCCCCATTGCCGGCCCTCAGCAGGCCCTCCTGGATGAGCCCAGCCCAGCTCACCTCTGGTTGAGTGTCTCAGAGGTGCTTCTGGCTATTCCTTCCTATCCTAGCCGGGCAACTGTGGCTCTTTTTCTGGAAAATGGGCATAATGCTCCTTGCATTACGAACTCACACTGGCAGGTGCTGTGTGTTTGCAGTGAGACGACATGTGTTATTCCTGGGGCCTCTGACCTGGTCTTTGGGGCTCAGAGTAAAGGGAAGTCCAGCTGCTCCCCCGGCTTAGCAGAGAAGTGGCCTGTGGGGTGCCCAAGGCAGGGGTAACACCCTGTCTCGTTGTCCCCAGCAAAATTCATGGGGACACATTTTAGATCCATTCCTCCTTCAACCTCTGTTCCCTGCTGGAAAGTCTAGCCCCTTCTGCAGAGGCAGAGACATGTTCCTGTGCTCAGGACTCTCTGTGAGACTCAGGAGTTAGGCTGTTCCTTCCCATGTCACCCGGGTCTGTGGCTGGGGTGGGGGTAGGGGGGCTCCCGTGCTTATAAATGCTTTGATTTTCTCAAAATGGAACAAATCTCATTATGTTGAATCCACTTAGCAGTGGAACAAAATATGCAGTTTGAACAAACATCCCATCAAAGCCCTGGCCAAAATGATCATCTCCTGAACCAGGCTGTGTGGTGAGCCCGGTCCAGGGTCAGAGGGGATGCCTGGAGATCCAAAACCAGAACTGATGGGTATCTGCCAGGTCTCACAGCCTTACCTCCCTCAAGCACACCCCCCCGGCCCCTGAATCTCCTGCATCTCCAGCCCACACACACAGGGCCCCGGGCTTCTCGCACGGGACACATTTGCTTGCCTGAGGCCTTCCTCCTGGGTGGCAAGAAGCTGTGTCTCAGGGTCACTGTTGCCCATTCCTTCCTATCCTAGCCAGGGAAATTGTGGGCTCTTTTTCTGGAAAATGGGAGTGATGCTCCTTGCCCACAACATACACTCACACTGAGATGTGAGGCATGTTTGCAGTGAGAAAACATTTGTTATTCCTGGGGCCTCTGACCCAGTCTTAGGGGCCCAGAGTAAAGGAGAGCCCTCTCAGAACATCTTGGAGCTGGCCAGCACGCTGTGGTGTCATGGGAGACAGCGCTGCTGAGCAAGGTGATGCAGGGGCTCCGCCCAGCCCCTCATACGCCAGGCCTCCTCTGAGGATGGGGCTGAGCAGGCTGGGGACGGCCACAGAGGCTGGTGTCTCTCTTCCAAACCCAACCCACAGCAGCCACGGTACGTGGTTCCTGGCACTCGGAAGGCGTCCCTGATCACAGGTGCTTACACGGGGAGGGGCCTGTGTCTCGAGTGGGTCTGGGGGCCTGGCTGGGAGCTGGGCCGGCCACCTCTGCCATCGTCAGCAATGTGCACTGGCGAATCTGAGTCTGCATTTCTAGAACCATCGAGTTGCCTGTGGCAAAGCGGGGAGCCCTCTGACGACGGTGGGTTCTGTTTTTGATTGTTTTAAGAAACACCAAAAGTTTTTCAGGCCGCTAGGAAGCAGTGCATTCCCGGATGTTCCCAAGAAAGTTCCCGCGTCAGCAGCAGCCTGATGGCCAGTCTAGGTCCAAACCCGCATTTTTACAGACTTGTCCACACCCTCTGTCCTTCTGGACCTTAGCATTTCTTAGACTGTGCAGCCTCTGACCACACCTGGAGCAGAGAAAGGTCAAATCTAGCCCAGGGCCTGACATTGAAAGCTAAGACTGAGCTAAGAATGGCATTTGCGGTTTTTAGTGGTAAGAAAAAAACAAAAGAATAACAGCATTTTGTAGCACAGAAGAGCTATTAAGTTCCAACTGTAGAACCATGTGACGCTGTGTTGAAACAGGGTCACACTCACACATGTGTTGTGAGGCTGTCACACTGCAACACAGATGCATAACCCAGAAGCCTAAAATATTTGCCATCTGGTCCTTTATAGAAAATGTTTGCCAATACCTGGTCTAGACTAAGTACCTGGATGGCGTGATGTGTTTAGAAAACATTTCTGGAAGAAGTGTAAAATGGGTGGGAATCGCAAGGCGTTAGCAGTGGGGCAGTGGAAGGGCGTAACCCCAAAGAAAGTGTCCTTGTGCAGGGAGGATGGGCTCCTGCCCATGCCTGTGCTGACCAGGGAGGCTGGACCACAGACAGGCTTAGCCCCAGGGAGAACAGCCATCATCTGAAAGTGGTGCAGGCTGTGGGATTAACTGAGCTGCCAACCTTAGAAGAAGTCAAGCTTCACAGGGCTGTTCACGCTGGTCCACGTGGGCCCTCGCACCAGGAGCTGGGGGGTTTCTTGTGAGAATAGCCTGGCCTGAAAACACGAGCTCCCTTTTATACTCAAATACCCCCACCCCCACCTCCCTGACAAACGCCTGCACTGTTTGAGCCAAGGCGGGCAGCATCCCAGCCTCCCAGCCAGCTCCGAGCCATTCTCCTTCTGCTCCTGCTGTTTCCTGTGCCGGAAGTGCTCCTTTCCCTTCTCCACCTCCCGTGTCTGCAGGACTCCCACCATCTCTCCTCGGTCTCCTTGCTCCAGTCCCCCATGGTGGGGTCTCGAACTCAGGCCCTCAGCACTCATGTAGTTCACACAAACGCCGCTTGCCCCGGCCGCACCCAGCACTTGAGTCCCCTGCTCTCTCTTCCTCAGTGGCAGTCTTCTTTTCTTCCGGATTCTGACAACAAGCAACTTCTGGGCGTCCCCTGGGGCCGAGGGCAAGCTTTTCTCGTCTCTGATCTGGGGTCTGGTGTGAACTGAGTTGAATCGGATGAGATGTGTCTGGGGAATCTTGGACTCCAGAACCAAGGCGTGGGTGTGCCCGGCGTGGGTGCCCCAGCCCCTGAAGCTGAGGCCACACTGAATCCAGTTGAATGGAGTTGGGGAAACAGCAGATCCCACAGACACCTCGGCCGTTCTGCTGGTGCTGGGCCACCCCAGGAGGAAGCCTGACTGGGTTCATGCCATTCTCCTGCCTCAGCCTCCGGAGCAGCTGGGACTACAGGCGCCTGCCACCACGCCCAACTAATTTTTTCTTTTTTTTTTTGTATTTTTAGTAGAGACGGGGTTTCACCCTGTTAGCCAGGATGGTCTCGGTCTCCTGACCTCGTGATCTGCCTGCCTCGGCCTCCCAAAGTGCTGGGATTACAGGCGAGAGCCACCGCGCCCAGCCGGTGTCAGGACTTCTGATGGCGTTTGTGTGCGGTGAAGTCCCTGAGACCCACTCTTCAAGCTGCCAAGCATAAGAATGGATTTTTCAGCCACATAGGAATTGTATTTGGTCGCACTCATTGGACCCCAAATAGTGTTTAAACACATTCCAAATTGGAAAACTCATCTCTCAGTAAAATAAAATTGCGTTTGTCCTAATTTGAATTCTTACAACTGAACAGTGAAAAAAACCTTTCCAAGTTTTAGTAAGAGCACTCCTGGGCTTGACACGTAACACAAAACCCCTTCTGCAGAGAGTGGCAGGGGCGGCCTTCCCCGCATCCAGCACAGGCACGGCGGTCTCCTTCCATCCAGCACAGGCGCGGGGGTCTCCCCCTACCCGGCACAGGCGCGGCGGTCTTCCCGGTCCGGCACAGGTGTGAAATTTAAAGGTTTGGACGGAGTCTCCTTTCTCCTTCTCTTGGATCTGTTCTTTACCAGATTAAAATCTAGACCCCTCCCTGTGCAGGACCCTCATCACTGGGCTGCAGGCCTGAGCACTGACTCTACCGTTCTTCCCTCTGTTCCCATTCCAGAGAGAACATCAGACCGTGGCATCCACTTCTCATCTATCTCATGGCTTGGGCTTGGGACAGGCCTGCAGCCCTGTGTCATCTCTGGCATGGGCTCTGTGCACAGGCCTGCATCCCTGTGTCAGTGTGTCTTGAACATGTCATGGGGCACTGGGAGAAGTCTGCCTTTCTCTTGGGTCAGAGTGGACAAGAAAACACGTGGGGCCTGTTCCCCTTCCTGGCCATGCTCCCTGAGGGTGTGAGGGCCTGAGAGGCATGGGAAAGTCAGGAAAATGCAAGGGGCGTGAAGGCTGCTGCAGGGAGGCCAAAGCCCTCAGGCAGGGCCGCGTTATGCCCTGGAGAGCTGGCCTGCCCCATGCTCCTCCTCCATACTCCCCGGGCAGTGGCCGAGGCACAGACAGCAGGGAGGGCTCCTGGCTGTGGGCGCACATTGTTTTCTGGTTAAGTTTTGCCCCAGGTCTAACCCGTTTAAGGAGTATCAGGCTCTAAGCTGCCTGTGTCAGCAGCTGCCTGTCTCCGAGCTCAGGCCTGGTGCTCACAAAACAACTTCTGGACTGGAGCTCATCATCAGATGCTGAGAGCTGCAGAGCTGGGGGACTCTGGCTCAGCACATTCCCGTCTCTTCTAGAATAGAGGAAGGTCCATCCCTGGGCACATCTGGGAAGTCACCTCTCTCATCAGCTGAGTCAGTGAGAATACATGTGAACTCTACACATTCATTTTTGACATCAGGTCCAACTACATGCTGTTAGAGCAACTACTCATCTCAGAGATAAAGAAAGGCACAAAGGAACGAGTGAGAACGGACACAAACCTGAGTGCTTCCTGAGGGGGAGGCCACGCCCGTGCAGGTGCAGAGAGTACCTGAGATTCCTACTCAAAGCAGCCCGCGTAGGCACATGCATTGTTTCTGAGGGCTCAGACCTCTAAGCCTACTCAGCCCTCGGCTGAGCCCCAGCCCCAGTGCTTCATCCACAGCTAGTGTCAGAGCTGCCGTCGTTCCCTCATGGACGGCCACGGAGCAGCAGGCCTTCACTGCGGAGGGAGGGGTTTTGGAAAGTGGGAAGAGCCCCCTTCCTGAAGGGCATCCTGTTGGAATTGGGTTGCCCCAGTAGACCATGGACTCAACACCCTGGACAGACAAGGACAGTCTGCCTTATCAGAGAGTGCCCCGAAAGGTGCCATTCAAAGGAGGAAATAAATTAAGATTTTCAGCTTGTTGCCCTCATAAACAGAATACAACTGTGAGTCCATTAAACCCATTTCCTTTATAAACTACCCAGTCTCAGGTTATTTATTAGCAGTGTGAGAACGGAGTAATACTTAAGGGTGAATTGATTGTCCCAATTAAACAATCTTTGCTGACTAGGTCACCTCCTACTCTCTCCCAGAACCAGCAGCTCGTGGGTGCTCCGGTAGCCATGGAGTCTCCTATACAGTCCAAGATGCCGCCTCCATGGCCTCGGCTGGTCCCGGGGCTGAGAGATACCACAGGCTGTCACTCTATTCCCCAAGCCCAACATTCAGGTAAGTCTTAAGGGAAATTCCAACCTGTGTTGGGTGAGCCCCAGCCAGGCCAATGCACGATTCTAGGAAGGCCTGAACACAGCCCCTGGGGCTTCCAGGTTGGTCAGATCAAGGCAGTGATGCCCTCTGGGGAAATAGGTTGGCATCAAAACGCCCAGGCAGCAGCCACATGGCCTTGTGGGGAGTTCCCGCCCTTGGCCTCATCCTTGGTACCCACAGGGGGGCCTGGAAATCCCTTTCGGTTGCTTGGTGGGGCCCCAGCCCCAGAGGATGTCTCCATTCTTGGGAAAGCCGTGTCCAGCGGGTGGAAACCACCTGTTGAGCAGAACAGAGCCATTGACCACACCTAGCTGACCACGGGAAAGGCCCTCAACCTTCCCCAGCCTCAGCCTCTTCATTCACGGAGGGGGGATAATAAGGGAGCCCCTCACAGTTTGTTAGGAGGACAGCATCATCACGTAGGTGGCCGGTGGTGTCACCATCCTCATTTCCATCCAGTCCTCGGGCTCATTCCCAGCAAACTGAGCAACCTTCCTGGAGGCTGGTCAGCATCCTCTGAGAACCTCATCACACCTCGGCCTGCTGGGAGGGGCCGGAGTGGAGACCTCATTTCTAAGAAGACAGGACACCTCTGCTCACCCTGTGGGCAATGTGAGGGTCGGGTGGTCAGCAAAGAAATTCCACTCCCAGAGTGTACTCAGGCGACTGGGACCCCAATGCAGCAAGCTGGGGGATGCCAGGCACAAGGCTCACGGTCAGACAGGGTCCAGCCTGGCCTCTGTGGCCTCGGCTTGGCTGAGGAAGCTGCCTCTCCGTCTTAGAAGCTGTATGTTTAAGACGAGGCTGAGGATGTTTATCCTGTGGGCTGCTTGTGGGCACGGAGGGGGTTAGGTGACCACAGCTGCTCTGCCAGCTGCCACTGCTCTCTCTTCCCAACCCCAGGCTCTGCAGCCGCAAGTCACTGGGGCTGCTTCCCCAAACCCCAGACACCCAGGAGTCCTATGTGGCAGGCACTCCTTGTTTTAAATTCTGGGAACCTCGGCTGTCGCTATCCATTTAATATAGTGATTAAATAACACAAGGACCTGAAGTATCTTGGAAGGAAAACCCTCATTGTTTGCAGGAACAGGTGATCCTCTGAAAATGCCTATTCGCAAATGCACTTTATTAAAAAACACAGACACACATGCAGACTGAAAACGAGAGAACCATGGCCCCTGCTACAGCGAACACTGCCATGGAATCGTGTCCATGGAAGATCAAGATCATAGGGTGGGAAAATAAAGGAAGTAAAAGAGCAAAGAAAGCGGAAACGACAGCTCTCCTAAAAGCCGATTTCATGCCATGTATCTCTGGTATAATAGCACGTGTTAGAGCTAAAATTGAGGGCTTCAAAAACTGTTACCTGAGTTCTGAGTTTAATCATATCGGCTTCCATCTGGGAATTGGATTCATTTAGCTCCTTGATTTCTTCATCTAACTGTTTGATTTCTTCATCATTTTCTATACCTGTAATAATGAATATTAGTATGTTAAAACTATTATATACAAAAATATTAGAGTTAAAATTTTGGGAGTTTTCTTTGTTCCTTTTATATTCGTAATTGAATTTGCTTGGAAAATAGACTCTTGAATTAGAAAGGAAAAAATCATCACAATCTTGAGTCCTTCTATTCCCTACCACTGCCCCTTCCCCACCTAAGTCCCCCCACAAAAACAATCGAGACACACAGAAGACTCCCGGGCACTCTGAGGGCTGAGCTCCCTGGGACAGTTAACCTGGGTCTTAGATATATCCCTGGGACACGAGGCAGAAACCACCTGGTCCTGGGTGCTGATTTGCTGAGCCTGGCCTATTTTCTCCTGCCTTTGTTCTCTCTCCCAACTCGCTCTCTGCATCAGACATTCTGCAAACACCCGAGGCTTGGGGCCAGGCTCTGCAGGCACATTCATCAACAAGGCCAGGCCCTCCCTGCCTTCACTCAGCTTAGGTTCTGGGTCAGAAAATGGGCAACAGACATGTAACCGCAAACGCAGTCCAGCAAATGCTGAGGATGACCTCACCTTATCCACCAACAGGAAGCTGTGGGAAGTGGGAGAGGGACACGGGGACTGGCTGGAGGGAGACGGCCACAAAAGGCTCTCTGAATATTCGACATTTAGCGAACAAAAAAATCTCATTCTGAATGATTAAAAAAATACGTATTAACTAACAGAATTCCCAATTCTACCAGAATGGCGACCTCAGCCAGGTGTGTACCTGGCCATCTGAGTGTCCCTGGTGGGTGACTGCTGCTCTGCCGAGGTCCACGGGGCACATGGATCAGTCCTGGCATAGCTGGGCACAGGGCCCAGATGCCCATATTTACAAAGGACATTCTGGACACCTGCTTCCCTGACTGGCTGTGTCTGGTTACTGGCAACATTACACTGCCAACGCCAAAGAGATGGAGATTCCTCTCTATTTGTGACCACTTGACCTCACACAATTGAGTGTACACAGAAGGAGAGCAGGAGTTTGGCAAACGCAATCACCCTAGAAAACTCAGGATTTGAGACTGCTGTTCTCATTGGTCCTATAGCACTACAATGGATCTTTACTCAAAACTAATGGAAATGTATCCAGGCCTCCTAGGAGGCTCCCAGTGGGTAGATGCTGTTTTCAAGCTTTGCAGACAGAAGGGAAGAAGGGGTGCAATCAACCAGAGTCCGAGGCCTGAAAGCACCCCAAACCCCGGCTGACATCAGCAGGACAGAGGTGGAGGCTCTTCTCTACCAAGACATCAGAAAGATGAGAGTAAGAGAAAGTGATGGATCATCCCAATTCATAAAGCAACTAAATTATGAATGAATGTATCATTTAAGAAGCATTCCCCACAAGCTTCTGTTAAACTGCAAGCATCCAAATGCCTTTAGAACACCTCCGTGTGAAGGAGGCCCTCAGAACACTGGACCTGGTGACGCTTCCACCCTCTACAGCCGTCACGGGCAAATTTCTCAAGCACGTTCCTAGGGATCCCGTCTTGCACAGGCCTTTCAATATATTTCCATCAAAAACCTTGGACCGGGGTGTTTAGTTTGAAGAATTTATGAGAAATGTCAAACTAACTGGCCTGTCAGGCTTGGTTATCTCATTGATCTGCCAGATCAGGTCAACTGTTCTGACAGAAGTCAGTGTCATTTTAAATCCAAACAAAGGTCTCGACACGGGTCCCACGACAACCTTTCATCTGTAATTTTGTTCTGGGAGTGATGGATGGGTGGATATTACTTCCATAGCTCTGCTCTGTCCTGGGGGCCACCCTCAGGCCCAAGTGGTCACCAACAGCCCTTTGTGGGAGCCTGGGAACGTCTCCGTCCTGCGGCTGCCCACTGCGGCTCCACACAGCATGCCATTCCTTTGTAAGGGGGAGGAGGGAGACGGGGAAACGGTGCCAGGAAGAACCGGCAGGTCACAGAGGCGTTCCCGGCCCGTACGATTCTGGAGGATGAGGGAATGTGGAAGAGGAGGGCCTGCAAACTAATTCTGCAGAGCTGTCCACAGCCACATCCCTGGGACAGCCTACGAGCCCCCAGGCACGTGTGAAGTCCCCTCAGGGAGAAGACAGCTCTGGGTTGGGTGGGAATTCCCCTTCCCCCTGCAGCAGGGCAGTGACTGGCCCAGGAAGCAGTCCCTGGGGTTGCTGGGGCCTCTGAGCTGAGCCTCACTTTGTGGATGGTTAGGCTGAAACTAGAATTTTGTTGTTGTTGTTTGTTTTGAGATGGAGTTTGCTCTTGTTACCCAGGCTGGAGTGCAATGGCGTGACCTTGGCCTCCACCTCTCGATTCAAGCGATTCTCCTGTCTCAGCCTTCTGAGTAGCTGGGATTACAGGCGCCTGCCACTACACCTGGCTAATTTTTGGTATTTTTAGTAGAGATTCGAACTCCTGACCTCAGGTGATCTGCCTGCCTCAGCCTCCCAAAGTGCTGGGATTGCAGGCATGAGCCACTGTGCCCAGCCACAAACAGGGTTTTATAATACATTCCACCAGCTGGCCTGTAAGCCCTCAGGAAGAAACTGCCTTTATAAAAAACTGGCCCGAGCAGGGAGGGCCCCAGCTGAAAAGCAGCATCTCAGAGCCAGAAAATCCACCCATTGGACACCACACCAAACAAGCAAAAAAATCCTACTCAAATTAGCATAGCGTGGTCCTGGAAGATTTTGATTTATTTCAGGATCCTGGTAGCGCTTGAGAGACCAGCGTCCCATGGTGAACCCGGCCAGCACTGGTCACTCTCACTAATGGCTTGGTGGAATTTCCTTCTCCTTACAGCTGAAGTAGAAATGTTTGAGTTCCCACACTTTGGAGCTCTCAGGAATATTAAGCGAACTAAGTAGATGAAGTTCCTGACAAAGTGCTTCATGTTTTCGGGGCTCGATGGAGGTTAGAGCTCCTTTCCCTAGCTTGCTTTCTGCTGTGATAGTAAAAGGAAAGAAAAAGCATTATCTTATTTCCTTCTCTCCTAAACACTGCCCCTGCCCCCACTACCCCCCAAAAAGCCACTGATTGTACAACTTCAGCCAAGGTGCCAAGGCGCTAAGAGGCATACGGCGAACTGCAAAACGGTTCTGAAGGGAGACTCACTAACAGGGTCACCCCGGCTGCTCAGGCAGAGCTGAGTGCTAATGTGTGATGAGATCACTCCACGGATAAAGAAAATAAGGTGATCCTTGTCGGGGAGAGACACGAGAGTAGGCTCATCCCTAAACTTAAAAAAGAAAGAAAGAAAAATACTTTAGAGCCAGAAGGGAACCTCAAGGACATTTGGAACAGCTGCTTCCCTGTCAGACAAATGCTCAAGAGAAAGAACTCAAGTCCGCTGCCAGGGTCCTTCTTGGCCGAGTCAGTGCCTCACGGTGGGTCTCGGCGGCTTCTCCGTCCCACACGGCATCTGGGCGTCACACGCAGGGAAGCTGCTGAGCATCTTGTGAGAAAATGACCCCAGGAAAGGCTTTACACTCAGGATATGAAAGAAAAGAAGGCCGGGCGTGGTGGCTCATGCCTGTAATCCCAGCACTTTGGGAGGCTGAGGTGGGCAGATCGCTTGAGCTCAGGAGGTCAGGAGCAACCTAGTGGGCAACATAGTGAGATCTCGTCTCTATTAAAATATTTAAGGCCAAGCATGGTGGCTCACGCCTGTAATCCTAGCACTTTGAGAGGCGGAGGCAGGTAGATTGCTTGAACTCAGGAGTTTGAGAGCAGCCTGGGCAACATGGTGAAGCCCCATCCCTACCAAAAACACAAAAATTAGCTGGGTGTGGTGGTGCACAGCTGTAGTCCCAGCTACTCAGGAGGCTGAGGTGGGAGGATCGCTCGACCCTGGGAGGCAGAGATTGCAGTAAGCCAAGATCGTGCTGCTGCTCTCCAGCCTGGTGACAGAGTGAGATCCAGTCCAAAAACAGAAAGAGAGGGATTGTCTTTTCCACATCTGTGGCAAAGGCAACAGGAACACAGAGCTTCGGACGCGAAGAATGGTACTACGGCAGCAGAAATTGGATGCTGTGCCTCTGTCCTCTGAAGACGAGCAGGAAAGATCCCCTTTCCTGGATTAGCTGCACAGACACGGAAATGACGCCTGGGCACACAACTGTGCTCTGGGGGTCGGTAAGAACTCTCTCGGTTTGGTGCAAACAGTGTCAGGAATCAACAGCCCCAGGCGTCAGCACCCACCTGGACTTAGGAAGACCTGGGTGGGACCCACTTCCACCACCTGTTCTCCCAGTGGCCTGCAGCTCCTCTTTTTCACCCGTGGACGTGCGTGCATTAGGATCTGCAGAAGGGGAACTGTTTCTGTCCTGAAACTTAGCACTGCACGAACTGTGTGTCCAGCAGCTCGGGCGAAATGCAGCGACCTGGCTGAAGGCTGGCCGGCAGCAGGAGCTGGGCCCAGCGGGTGGGCGGTGACCCTGGAGTGCCCATGCCCCGGCTGCTTTCTGGTGGGATGAAGCCAGTTGTTGGTTCCTCTAGTTTAGAGTCACAGACCAACTGCTTATCTTCATCCCTCCGAGTCAGCAACTGTTTTTGTGAATTAACTCCTTGTGTGCGGCAGTAATGGGAATGTCTAGAGCCCTTAATGCAGACTCAGGCCCGCCAACGAAGACACGGCCACCTCAGGGATCTGCCCACCGCTGCCCAGGTGGACCAGCCCAGGTGTGAATGGCTCCTCCTCTAGGGTCGGCAGATCTGTTCTCTCCATGCTTTCCTTCCTTTTCTGTTTTGAACTGGACTACCTAACCTAACCGCCACGTCCTTCATTAATGGGGAACAAAGGCACATGGACTCAGATCAATTGTCTAAGGATTTCCGCTTTAATCCAGGATTATTCAGGGGTGAAATGCCCTCTAAGTATTTTGAAAAGCACCTGGCATGTGGATGGAGCTCAGGGAATGTTTTCTTCCTGGCAAGGAACACTGCTCCGTACTAACTGGGAAGCGAACGCTGGCTATCCTGGTATCTCAAAAGCAGGGTCCTTACGCTGGCTGCTTGGGACTGCACCCGCAGGGAGAGGGTGTGCGGTTGGGTCCGGGTGTCTGGAAACTGACAGGAGCAGCCTGGGAGGCAGGATGCCTCCAGGAGCCCCAGACTCTGAGGACCAATATCAGGAAGCTGATGACCTTTCTGGTGAACAATGGGCCATATGTTGAGGAATAGTTTGTGCTGGCTGCTGGCACAGGGAATCCTGCAGGCACACACGTGGGACATGCAGGCATCTCTCATGCTGTCCTCAGGACCACCAATAACAGTCAGATGAGAGGAGACCCCCATGGCTGTGGCCAGGGGCTTCGTGCCTGCATGCTTGGGAGCTGCTCAGGTGTGGCTCACTTGGTGGATTTGGGGAGGAGGTGCCCTTTGGTAAACGTACAGCAGGAGGTCCCAGGTTCTGCCCAGGGTCAGCTTTACAGGACGGATCTGTGCATCATAGGTCTGGGAGCCTTCAGCCCAGGGCATCCCGTGCTTTGTGGTGCTTGAAGAGCTTTGCAGGCTCCTTTTAGAAATACAAAATTAGGGGTGCATCTTGCAAGTGAGAGCGGAGAAGGGGAGGCTGGGCTTCTGCTGTGAAGGGGACCAGTCTGCTCAGTGGCTACAGGTTACAGCTGATCTCATTATTCCCAGGGGCCGTGCGCGGTAAAGTTACCTGCACACAGGCTGAGAGCAGAATCACTGCCTCTGGAAACAAGGGGCCAAGCTCCTGCCAGCCTCTGGTCCCATTTTTGTCAGTTGAAAAATAAAAAAAACCCTGTTAATATTGTTTGGCTGTGTCCCCACCCAAATCTCGTCTTGAATTATAGTTCCCATAACCTCCACATGTCTTGGGAGGGACCTGGTGGGAGGTAATTGAATCATAGGGGTGGTTACCTCCATGCTGTTCCTGATACTGAGTTCTCACGAGATCTGGAGGTTTTATTAGGGGCTTTTCCCACTTCTCTCTGAACTTCTTTCTCCTGCCGCCATGTGAAGAAGGACATGTTTGCTTCCCTTTGCGTCATGATCGTAGGTTTCCTGAGACCTCTCCAGCCATGTGGAGCTCTGAGTCGATTAATCCTCTTTCCTTTATAAATTACCCAGTCTCGGGTATTTCTTCATAGCAGTATGAGAATGGACTAATACACCTGTTTTATGTGTGCTCCAATTTAAAGACAACTTATTTAATAGATACTGTGGATTCCTTAACATTGAACTCAGAGCCAACAGTCAAAACCATGACTCCTGTCTGAAGGGAGCTTGGCTAACGTGTGTGTTTTCTCTGTGAGGCACATCACAGCCCCCTGCACTTAGGAACACCAGACACTTCAGCTGCTCTGTGAATGCACAGGAGTAACTACAAAAGCACTGAGATCACTGCCTGTGTCTACAAATTAATTTTAGCAGGGAGGTGAACTCGCAAATAGAGTCCTCAGGTCATGAGAGTGGACTGTGCATGTTTCTAAGGGTTTAAGTGGCTCTCCTCTCTCCTGCTCCTCCAGAGGCCCCCAATTTTCCTCTGCAGAACTCTCTACACACCTGTGCCAGTTGGTGACAAGAGACACCCTCAGAACAAAACAGATTTGCAGGTGGAATCAAGAAAATCAGGCACTAGACATGCTGAGAGTGAGGGCAACAGGGGAGGAGGTACCATCCTTGTTATCTGTGGCCTGGGGGGCCCCAAAGCTGCTCCTGGGTGGAGAAACCGCAGATGAGGGCCTGAGGGACTGAGGCAGAAATGTGGGCACACTGGGGTTCCAGGGAGCAAATCGACCAGTGCTGGAGAGACCCTCAGGACTTGGGCTAGTGAATCCAGTGAGTAGTGAAGTTGGTGAAGGGGGGAGATGGTTTTGAGAAAGACTGCTTTTTTTCTCAAGATGCTTAGCTTTATAGATGAGAGGGCCAGAATTATCCCTGCCCCTGCTTTCTAAGAAAAGTGAGCTGTAACTGTTAAAGGACACAGAGCTGGCGTGGCCGTGCCCGCTGGGCCTTCCTGACCACGTATGCCACGAGGGCTGGAGGGGTGCTCACCGTTGCTGGCCCGCTGTTTGATGGTCAGCATCTGCTCTCCAGAAAGCTTTGCCTTCTTCATCGCTGACGTGGCTCTCGGGCATCCTGATAGGCTGTGGACAAGACACAGGACGGCCATTAGTCAACTGTCTAGTGTCCCAGCTCCGCAGGGAAGCAGTGGTAAGCGAGGTGTAGACTGGCATTATTGTACTAGCTTGGTTGCCAGCAAAAGGCTGTCTGACAATGAGGAAAAGCAAAAAGACCAATGCGTATAGTATGACAGTTATGCACACGGGGTGCATGTGTGTGTGCATCTTGCGTGTGTCCGTGTACTCATGCATGTGGTGAGCGCTGGTCATGGGCGCTCGGCTGGAGCTGCCTCTCAGGGGGGATCTTGGGAGCTGGGGCTCTGAGAGCAGAGGAAATTTGCCCTTCATTGTATAACTTTCAGAGCTTTTTGAAACTTTTATAGAGTGATAATGTTGCTTAAAAATCTTCTTTATTATGGGAAGCATCAAGCTTATAGAAAGGTTGGGTTTAAAAGTTAATTTCAAATATACAAAAGTAGAGAGAGCAGAATAATGAACTCACCCCAAACTCAGCTGTCTCTCAAGGCTAGTCACCTGTGCCCCTCCTGCTTCCCCGGTCTTAAGCGTGAAAACATAACCGCAATCTCCTTATCTCACCCACAGTTTTTAGACAGTTTTCTAATATCACCAGCTATTCAATCTGTTTTCAAACCTCCTGGTGTCTCTTCACTTTTCTCAGCCACTGGTTTGTCGACGTCAGGATGCGTCTCAGCTCTTCAGAGTGCATGTGGTAGACGTGGCCGGTGGCCTCCGGGGCAGGAAGCGCCTCTGCCTCCTTTTCTATCCTGTTGGGTGTTTGCTGAAGATGGCATGTCCTGTGTGCGGAGCGCCTCTTCCATGCAGTCCCGTGCCTCGGCTTCCTCACAACTCCTCAGCCTCTGAGGGGCCTTCCCTCCCTCCCAGGGGCTCCTGGACATGCTGGTCAACTGGAGTCCTCACTGTGCTATAGGCCAGGGGCCATCTGGCACTTAACCATGGGTGAGGTGAAAAACTTCTGTATATGTTTTTTTTTTTTTTCTTTGAGACAGAGTCTTGCTCTGTCACCCAGGCTGGAGTGCAGTGGCACGATGTTGGCTCACTGCAGCCTCCGCCTCCTGGGTTCCAGTGATTCTCCTGCCTCACCCTGCTGATTACAGGATTATGGCCTCTGGGATTACAGGTGTGTGCCACCACGCCTGGTTAATTTTTGTATTTTTAGTAGAGACACGGTTTCACCATATTGGCCAGGCTGGTCTTCAACTCCTGACCACAGGTGATCCACCCACCTCGGCCTCCCAAAGTGCTAGGATTACAGGCATGAGCCACCACACCTGGCCTATAATGTTTTATATATGTATATGACATACACGTTTATTCTCTCACTATATAATATTGTATTCCACCTGTATATTAAGTGTTAGACGGACCCTGTCCATAAGTGGTGTGATGGTCAGCAAAATAAGGTGGAGCTTGGCTGGGGTAGTCGGAGGAGCGCGCGCCCGACTCCAGGGAAAACCATCTCCCTTCTGGCTCCCGCATCTGCTGAGAGCAGGTATGTGTTAGGGATATACCTAGAAACACTCTTTACTAGCGCAGGCAGATTACATAATTATTAGAAATATCTCTTTAATATCTGCACTAATATTAAGCTTTCTAGATATTGTTTTTGTAATACATGTTTTAAAATTTTTTTTGAAGAAAACGGGAAAATTCATAGCAGAACTTGATTGTAATACATTTTCAACTGGGGATATTAGCGTGTTGTTTTTGGGGAAATCCTATCTTAGTATAAAAATATTTTCAGTATTCTTCATCAACATCACAGGTCTAAGTTGTTATTTTTTTTGCTGTGATGTTTGCATCTCATAATTATAACAGAATATTCATAAAATTCTAAATAATCATTGCTGTTGCCTGACCGTGTCCCCCGAAAACGTGTGCACTGAAATCCTGACCCTCACCGGGATGGTGTGAGGGGGAGGGGCGTGTGGGAAGTGAGGAGGCCTCGTGATGGGATCCGTGCCTCTATAACAGGGACCCAGAGAGCTCCTTCACCCCTTCTCCCGTGTGAGGACAGAGTGAGAAGGCGCCCTCTACCAACCACAGTGCAGCCCCGGCTGGACGCCGAATCTGCTGGCGCCTTGGTCTCGGACTTCCAGTCTCCAGAACTTGGAGGAGTAAATTTCTGGTTTCTACGCTGCCCGAGGTATGGCATTTGTTTTTGTAGCCCTAGAACGTCTAAGACAATCACCAGTATTTGTTGCTCATCCCAGAACTCTGTGGTTGTGAACTGCTGTGTTTGCTGATGATGTTCCTAGGTTCAGTGGGAGAAGGAGCAGCGGGGACTTTAACCCCGGCGTCATCAGCTCCAGCATCATCAGCTCCCGCGTCCTCTCCCATCCCAGGGCAAGCCCCACGGGAAGCCCCAGGAGCAGAGAGGCCTCTGGGAGCCGGATGGCGTGACGGGGTGGGCACCCTGGCTTCTCATGCTCGCCCTGACTGCATCCCCAGGAATCTGGATAGTCCCTGAGGGGGTCCTGGCTCATGGTTCCCTTTGCTGTTTTTTTGTTCATTTATTCGTTACTAGACGTTGGCACTGCTGCTTCTGATGGAGCCTCTCACCCTGCCTGCTGCTGTTTACACCGGAAATCCTCGTGCTCCTCAAGCTCTCTTTAGTGTGGGGCGTGAACAAACCCCTCGCATTCCAGAGGGAACAGGCTCCTTTTCAGCCTCCCTGATGGGGCCTGGGCAACAACCTGGCAGTCGCCCCCACTCCGGGGCACCCTCCTGGGTCTTCTCCTGCCTCCCCATCAGATCCCAGCAGGACGCCCTGCAAATCCGGCTGGGGTGGGGGCTGACACTTCTGCTTCCCTAGCTCATCCGTAAATCTGCTTCTGACGACGAGCTGGATGTTTTCATTTGTAAAAATAAGAAGTTCTCAAAAGATCTGTTAAGGCTTTCCTAAAATAGGATGCTTGGATTTTAACACCACTTTTCCCTTTCCTGCCACTGGACACACTGCGGCTGTTGCACACATCTTCCTGCAGGTGCCTGCGCTTTGGCCCCCTCCATCCAGGTAGACTCTGCAGTCAGGTGACCACATCTGGCAAGTCCTTCGTGAGACCAGGAGGCCCATCGGACCTCACACCGCACCCCCTGATGCTCTAACGCACATAAGACGTGCAGCTGGCTAGGAGAGACTCATGCATTCCTGTTTGCTCACTTGTGAAATGAGAATAAAATATTGAATTGACTGTGTTTGTGAAGTTTAATGAAAAGAATGTGTATTCTTGCGGGCAAGGATTAAAATGCAATTTTTGTTAAAATCCCCAAGATGGGAGAGTGCTGGAGACAGAGCAGGTGCCTAGTGACGATTTCTGAAAGCATAAAATGTCTGAATGCATTTTGTGATGGCTCAGTGAGTGGAGGCCCAGGGTGAGCGTGAGTGCACCCAGGCCCTGGAAGGTGCAGGCAGAGTCCCGGAAGAGGCCTATGGCAGGATTTTGCAGGATTTCCAAGTTGAAAGAAGACTCTTGGCCGGGCGCAGTGGCTCATGCTTGTAATCCCAGCACTTTGGGAGGCCGAGGTGGGGGGATCACGAGGTCAGGAGTTTGAGACCAGCCTGACGAACATGGTGAAACCCTGTCTCTACTAAAAATACAAAAATTAGCTGGGCATGGTGGCGGTCGCCTGTAATCCCGGCTACTCGGGAGTCTGAGGCAGGAGAATCTCTTGAACCCGGGAGGTAGAGGTTGCAGTGAGCCGAGATTGCACCACTGCACTCCAGCCTGGGCGACAGAGCAAGGCTCTGTCTCAGAAAAAAAAAAAAGAAAAAAAGACAACTCTTGAGTGCAGCTGCCGCCCTGGGCTAAGATGAGAGGAAGGCTGCGGGGAGGGCCTCCTGCAGAAGTCCTGAGACTGTGACTGTAGGACGAGGATGACGCCTGGTCGGTCCACGGTGCCTGTGGCCCAGCCCTGCTCAGTGTGACCCTCAGAAATGCAGGGAGCAGCTCTCATCTTCCGTCCTCTGAACCTCCCCGGCCCTTTCGACTTGCCCTGTGTCTGTGAATGGCATTTAGGGGCCAGGAGCTGCAGGTCGGGAGAGAGGGAAGGCCAGAGAGGCCTGCATCCTCCCCCTTGCCATCCTCTCGGCGAGCAGCCTCTGCTGTTTGCCCTGAAACCCCTCCCTTCTCTTCATCACTTCAGTCCAGGTCTGTGCTTCTCCCTCTGCGGGGCCCCTGGGCCTCAGCCTAGGTCCCAACCGTTCCATCCCGGAGCTGAGAAACGGCCCCAGGGGCTCAGCTGTGATTGCCCCCCACTCCCCTGCCGCCAGGAGAGCTTCCAGCAGCTTCTCTGAGAGCAGCCGCCAATGCTGGAACATCTCCTAGGGCAGGGGTCCCCAAACCCCGGGCCGCGGCCTGTTAGGAACCGGGCCGCACAGCCAGAGGTGAGCGGTGGGCCAGCTCTGCCTCCCGTCACAGCAGCGGCGGGATTCGATTCTCACAAGAACGCAAACGCTATTGAGAACTGCGCCTGCGAGGGGTCTACACTGCGGGCTCCTCAGGAGAAGCGAATCCTGGTGATCCCAGGTGGAACGGTTTCATCCGGAAACCATCCCACCCTTTTTCTGTGGAAAAATTACCTTCCATGAAACCGGTCCCTTATGCCAAAAGGTTGGGGGCCGCTGTCCTAGAGGGCCTTGGCGACGGGCTCGTCTCCCATGTGCTGCTTCCCACTGTCCACTCACAAATTCCCCAGGCCAGCGAGCTCCCCTGCCGCTCGGTGCACGCCCCTGGCCTCCCACGTGAGTTTGCTGTCCCGCCCTGTCCCCGTCCAACTGGCCTCCCAACTCGTTACTGTTTTGTCCACAAAGCGGGGCCCGGCCTGCACCAGGAGGCCCTCCCGGCCTGGGCTGGGGCCCACCACAGCGTCGCCTTCCTCGAATCCCCGCGCCCCGGGGACGTGGACACGGGCGGTTCACATCCTTGGTTACTTTTCCTCTTTTGCTGGTCTAAGGGCGGGTCCCCGCAATGCCGAGCACATGG